ATTTATAATATGCATTAAGATTTGTGCTTGATCAAATTATTTCTGTGATATATCAAATCCAATCAATCTAATCAAGTTAAATGAAATATTAACATTAAAATCAAACCAAATTCAAGCACCATGAGCTCACACATGAAGTTCCAAGTTCGAAGCCCCTAACATTTTAAAAAAAAATCAAGCACTATCAAATCAAAAGTATCTATATTTTTCTATTTCATTGTAATTCATTTTTTTTTTCATCACCTACTCAATATAAACGTTAAGAGTCCTCAGCATACAAATTATTAATTTTTAATAATTTTGAAGAAATGTACTCTACCTCTCAAAATTACTTTATTAAGTCATGCAATGATTAGGCTTTGGTTGGACACTTCTTATTTTAATTTTAATTGTGTTGTAACTCAATAAAAAGGGAATTTTTTTTTATTGAGTGCCAAAAAAAAAAAAAAGAACTGCACAGACAAAATAGAGTGAATGCATTATTAATGACTAATGCCAAATGGATTTGATTAATGATTCAGCTAAAAAAAAGCATTTTTAGGGGTTTTTTGGTTTGTTAAAAAAAATTATAAAGCAAAAGAAATGTTGAGATTTTTAAAATTCTTTTATTTGATTTGATGAGAAAGAAATGTAAATTAATTTATTAAATTATTTGAAATTTATCTTTTAATTCATTGTTAATATATTAGGAACTCATCTTGTGAACATTTGATGGAACATCATGGTTAGGCAATGATGGTTGGGCATTTGTAATTGGGTGATGGCAGTTAGAGGATCATAATTGGGCAACGACAATCGAAGAATCGTAGTGAGAAGATGACGGTCAGAGGACTGTAGTCGAGCGATGGCCGCTAAAGGATCGCAATTAGGCAACGATAGTGGAGGACCATAATCGGACAATGCTTGCTGGAGGACTGTGGTCCAACGAAGGTGATTGGAAGACCATTATCATGTGACGGTGGTCGAAAGATCATAGTCGGTCCACAATGGTTGAAGGAACGTTGTTGGGAAATAGTTGAATGAGCATAGTCAGGTGGTAGTGGTCAAAGTACTGTAATAGAAAAAGGGTAGTCAAACCACCGCCTAACGCCGTAGTTCCGCCGGACAACTGCCTGACGCCGTAGTTCCGCCGGACCACCGCCTGACGCCGTTGTTCCGTTGGACCACCGCCTGACCCTGTAGTTCCGCCGGACCACCGCCTGACGCGTAGTTCCGACGGACCACCCCCTGACGCTGTAGTTCTACCGAACCACCGCCTGATGTTGTAGTTTCGCCGGACCACTGGCTAATGCCGTTGTTCCGTCGGACCACCGCCTGACGCCGCTCTTCTGCTTGACCACCAAGTGACGCCATACTTTTACGCACATTAGTCACTAAATTTCAACATATAGTTGACATTTGTAATATGATCATCTTTAAGGACGAGTCAGCCCATTGTAATCTACCCCAAACACTAGTGAAATCATTTCAGACTAGGCCAGACCCCATGGTTTTTCCCTTTTCTAGGATTTTCCACATAAAAAATCTTGTGTTCTCTGTGTGTGAGCTTGATATCTGTGCAATGCTAAGACGTAGAATTTTAATTCTATCACCGCGTATATTCTAGCCCGCAACAATACTTAGTTGACCATAGTCGACCAACATAAGTATAACATCGCAAAGGTGTGCTCAATCTTTATCTCCTTTCATGCATTTCTATTAGCTAAATCACGTAAATCCGTTGAATTCTCATATTTAGTAAATATGAGATTCATAACCAACAAACATAAAACTTTTATAAACTACACAAAATCAAAACCAATTGCTTAAAATAAAATCAAATGATCAAATGACTCTTTTAAATTTTGATCTTGCTTTTGATCTATTCAACTTTGAAACAAACTTTTACGGATCATCTTAATTATATTGAACTTTGAATTTTAATCAATTGGCATAATGGCCTTAATTTTTTTTAATAATAATTATAATTATAATTATCATAATGACCTTAAAAATGGATTATCTTTGTTTTCTAATTAGGGTTAATGCTAAGAAGCTTCATAATTATCTCCATACATTTAAAAACAAATGACAAAAAGAACATTGACCTTTCTCAATTCTCTGACTCTATCCAATGAGAAAAGAAGTTCCATCCAAATGTTAGTAGTTAAAGAATTTTGCAAATATTTCCATTATAATATTTTTATTGTCGCTTTTAGGTCAGATGAACAGATAAAGTAAGCTTTGGGGGAAAATATAAATATTACTTTTATTGTGTTGTTTGTGTGAAATTATGAGATGAGTTTTTTTTCTATTTAATTAAAGTCAACTTAATGCATAGTAAAATAAATTACAATATGAAAGAAATATAGTGTATTTGAAATGTTTGAAGTTGTTCGGATGAGTGTAAAATAAATGCATGTGATTTTTTTTTTATTTGTCTTGAAGTAAAATGAATGTAGTGCAAAATCCAAAGATAGCTGTGGCTGATGGGCGGTCGTTGCAGCAGGTGGTGATCAATAGTGACAGGCGCCAATAGCAGTAATGTCAGCTGGCGAAGGTTGGTCGATGCCGATGGCAACAATGGGTGGTGCAACGGTGGCAACCGACAATAAAGACCAATGATTTACAGTGTATTTGGAAATCATACTAATATAATGATTTTCAGATACACCAAAGTTATTCTTCTAGAAGTTTCATTTAGTTTTGCTGATTCTCTCTTCTTATTTTCGATAATGATTATAATTGTGAATGGCTAATAATTTAATTGTACAGTATAATTATGTTGCTTTATTTATCTAATAATTTAATTAAATTTGATGAATAATATAATCAAATTAAAATTATTTTAAGAGAAAAAATTTCCTGAGTTTTCTTATTATTTGATTTTCTTATTTTTCTTATTTTATTTTGAATTTGCAAAACTGTGGAGTAGAATACTTTGAGATTTTAGGGCTTTCCTTCATAAATAAATTGATGTTATTATCAAAATAATCTGAAGACTGCTGGGAATTGTTCATGTGGTCTTAAGTAATATACTTTCTTATGAAGGCTATGTAGCTAGGGCTGTCAAAATCGGGTCATGGGCCGGATTTGGGTCCAACCCGAAACTAACCCGGCACTGTTCGACCCGACGCGAATCTGACCCATTTTTGCAAACGGGTCAGTTTTTCAAACCCGAACCTGACCCGCCAAGTGAGTCCCCTTCATTGTTGTTTGACTTTGCTAGTTTGTTGTTCGCTCATTGGACGACGTTCTCTTCCCTTCGGATCGGAAGTTACAACATTTTGATTGGAAGCACCGAAGCAATGTCAGGAGTTCGCCGCTGCCTCGTCGGCTCCTTCGTTGTTGGACTTCGCTCCTTGGACAGTGTTTTCTTCTCGTCGGATCAGAATTTAAAACATTTTGACCGGATGAAACAACAGGAGTTCGCTCACTGTGAAGGAGTCGACGCCTCGCCAGTTCCTTCGTTGCTATTCGACTTAGCTCCATGGGCGACTTTCCCTTCTAGTCGGATTGGAAGATACAACATTTTGATCTGAAGTAACGACGGGAGTTCTCTCATTGTGAAGGTCGTTGTTGTTCTGCTTCGCTCCTTGGACGATGTTCCCTTTGAGACCAATTTGCTATTCGATGCAAGGTGAACTCTGCGTTAAGGAACAGGGTTTGGAGTTCACTCATGTAATTCACTTTCTTGGGCATGAGACTCGGAGGCATGATACTTCCGTTCAGAGTTCTCTACGTCGTTGTGTTGCCTATTAAGTTGATGGTCGCCAATCAAAGTCCCAGTCCAGAAGCTCGGGAAGAGTCTAAGGATTGAGGAGGAAGGGCAGGAGTTCTTGTTAGATTGTAAGTTACAACATTTTGATCGGAAGCAACGACCGGAGTTTGCTCAGTGTGAAGACTTTTTATGTTTTGTGCGCTTCTTTGACCAAATCCTGTAAATATACCGATCCGGGTCAAAATCAGGTCATTCTCAGGTTTTCGGGTCAACCCGACCTGGAATTTGAAACGGGTCGAAAATCAGGACCTGAACCAGACTCATTTCGGGTTCGAGTTGACCCGAATCCAAAATTTTCGTGTCGGGTTCTAGCGACGTTTTCATGTCGTGCCCAATTTTGATACCCCTATATGTGGCTTTTTAATTGGGCTAAATTAAATTTAAATCAAATATATATAAAATTAAAATGCACTTTACACTTCACTTTCGAAATGCAAGCAAAAAGGCTTAATGTAAATTATTATTTATAATTCCAAAACTATTCTAATTTAATAGCTCGCTCATTTTTATTTTTATGAGGACATATCACAAATGTACTATCATTATATTATTTGAGCTAATAGATTTTAAATTCGGAAATAAGTATTTACGGGCTTTAGGTTTTGTTTGAGACAACTTTTTTATTGCTTTTAAAAGTAACTTTTTAGGATAAAAATTTCTAATTTAAGAAAGTTTTAAACTAAAAAATATCTTTAAAAACAGTAAGAAAACTGTGCCAAATGAGCTTTCAGTTTAGCTTGGGACAGCTTTCTTATTATTTTCTAAAATAACTTTTTAATACTTGTTGCGTCCTGGAATATTCGCAGCGGTAGAGAAATATATAGTTTAACGTCTTAGCGTTGTACGAAGATCCAGCACACAATCAGATAAGTGAGAGGGTGTAGCATTCATAAGAGACACCAAAGTTTTTACGTGGAAAACCCCTGAAAAAAAGGGGGAAAAACCACGGGGCCTGGCCCGGTTTGAATGAATCCACTAGTATTTGTAGTCGATTACAAATGAGGCCCTTCCTTAGGAGAAGGCCTTGGATTGATGTAGCAAATGTACATCATATAGATTGCATTACATGGTAAGAGTTACATATACAGGTTTGTTTGGCCTGAAGGATCGTGGTCGGCAAGAGACCGGAGTCGGCAAGAGACCGGGGTCAGAAAGACCATTGTCTGTTGATGGAGGTCGGAAGGACCATCCAAACAGGCCCTACTGCAGTTAAATCTGCTGTACTCAAAAGCGCCCATTTAGGAATATTTATTATGTGTGGCGATCGTAGCATTTTTCATCGCCGCAACGCTGCAGAAATTTTCCTATTTTCTTTCCAATTTCATAGCCATAACGCTAGTTCGAGCTACAAAGTAAGGCCGCTTCTCCATCGCCGCGCGCCTGTGGTTCGATCTATGTTGCTGATCTCGCTCGGTTCTTGCTAGGGTTTGGAAGAACTTTCAGGTGGCACGGAAGCTGCTGAGTTTCACTCCGGCCTGTTGTTGTTGAGGCTATCTATCAGATCTCAAGTAGATTTTTTTGGTGACTCAAGAGTGTTTTCCTTGTCGGCGTTGCCATTTTCATTACTGCTTTTGGCCTATCTATCACTTTCCGCGCTCGGATGAACCCTAGAGGAAGGTATCCCCCTGGTATTGGAAACGGCCGCGGTGGTGGCGCTGGCCCAAACCCTAATTTCTATCCAAGAGGGCCGCAGCCGCAGCAGCAGTACGTGCAGAGAAATCCCTTACCAAGCCAGCAGAATCAAATATACCACAACCAGCAGCAGCAGCAGCAGCGCTATCAGCAATGGCTAAAGCGGAATGAAAGCAATTCCGGTGCTGGCGAGTTGGTGAAATCAGTCACCACTCAAGGCAGTGATTCCAGGTTTGAAAATAAGTGGCAAATTGGCCCTTTTTTATTCCACATTGTTAATGCTTTTGTTTTTATTAACTTTCACTAAATAAAGAAGATCAAAAGGGAGTTCCAAAGATGGATGACTCTGTTATATCAGCTTCAGTTTGTCTGCACTTTACTGCATTGCTGAAGTGATTGCGTTAGATATTTTATTGGTCAATGCAGATGGTGTATAGAGTATTGTCCTTAATGATTTTAGGGATCTATCCATGCTAATTTAACCTACAAATGCAGCATGCTATCTGTTTTGTTTTGGATTTTTTGTCATATCTCTCTTTACTTTTCATTCAAAATTTGGGGAAAAGAGTGTAAATTACTGCATTTCTTACTTCAGTCTTGCTATTTTTTTTTTGTGATGACCCGATCACTATTTTCAGTTCCTTTTCATTATTATAAGGAATAACATCATATGTTCAGCGCTGGTTATCTCTTTGTTGAAGAATTGTAATTTATAGGGAACAATTGATGCCATGGATGTTACATTCCTATAGATGTGAGAGAGCTAATCATATGAGGGTGGGTATTAATGGCATATGGATCTATTGGCCTATGCCTCTTTCTTAATGGTTCAATGAAATTTTCCATCTAACTCTTCTTATTCTTTTGCATCCTTTGATATCAACTTTGCATCACTCCTATGTCAAGTAGTAAGAGATGGGCTAACTTTTCTCATCTCCTCCACTCGAGATTAGCTAACATCCCCTATCTTCACCTCTTCTTTCTCCACCTCATCCCCAACCTTAGCAAAAGGAATGGGTGAGTCAGTAACTAATCCCCTCCTTGCTATCCCTCTTTATTCTTCTTCATGTCCTTATGTACAAAATTTTACACAAAATTGGTTAGAGCATCAAAGTTCCGCCCCAACCTCAATTAATTATTCTACAATTGAATCTGGTTGTTTTTAGCTCATGTATGACAACAAAAAGCTACATCAATTCTTTGGAGGGTATGGACTAACTAACAACTTATTGTTTTTCAACTTCCTTTTTTCCCTCATTGTGACTGTCCACTTGCTTATAGAACATTTAGCTTTTTTATTAATTTTCTTATTGAGTTAAAGCCGTAATTAAATTTTAATCGATCTTAACTAATTATATATTTGATATTAACAATATTAGCATATATGCTTATTACTATACATAAATTATTTCAAAATGGCGCCCGCTATTTGCATCATGCATGAGCAATGGTGCAAGGCGCAAATAGCGCACACAATTTTATTAACATGTTATAAATTTCAAATTATAAATTATAATTAAAGTTTAAGTTTTATATATTAATATCATGATTAAATATTAATTAATTAAACATCAAATTAATAAAATATCAAAAAAATTATTTTATCTTAAAGCTTTTTATAGAATTTAAATCTTTTATTTTGTTATTTGGTAGGATTTAGGCTAAATTATGTTTAAATCTCTCTCAAATTATAAATTAATGACATATGGGTCTATCAGCCTATCCTCTTTCTTAATGGTTCTATGAAATTTTCCATCTAACTCTTCTTATTCTTTTGCATCCTTTGTGATAGGCTGGTTCATCCTGAAGAGGGATTTGTCTAGGGTTAGTTTTTCATGCTTTGTTTTGTTTCTCTTGGAGTTTCTTTGGCGTCTTGGGCTCTAGGCATCTTGTCTAGAGACTGGGAGAGAACGATCCTCCTCTCGAATTGAGGATCAATTGTATCTTGCTTGGCATTTGTTTTGGTTTTGTTCTCTTCTCGCAATCTATCGTTTTGGAGCTGTTTTCGCCTAGATTTTGCAATTATCTCGCTGTTTTCACCAATTAGAGATAGCTTTGCTTGCGAACTCAAGTATTTCTCTTATGGTTACTTGTGAACTCAAGTATTTCCTATCAAATTGGTATCAGAGCAAGTCTCGAGACTAATGGACGGCTGTTTTCGACGGATTGCAGCAGCAGTTTTTCGCCCCAAATAGGAAGAAGTTGCTGTTTTTTTACTCCAAAATCCTGTTTTTTGTGAACCTACAAACGCTGGATTTTGATGGCGGCAAAAAAAGTGGATGCCTTGGAGGAAATACTTGAAGGGGAGATGAATCAAATCAAAACGATGGTGGAGGAAAGGATTTCTTCCATGGAGGGACAAGTCGCCGACCTCCGAGATATGATGAAGAAAATGTTAGAGATTCAAAATCAAATGGCGGCTTCAGTGGCAAAAGGGATGGAAGGAAAAAGTAAGAATTCTGAAATCTGTAGGGAGGAAGATGAGGTGGAGATCGTGGAAGGAGAAGGAAGAAGACCCCATATGGAGCCTGTCCAGAGGGAAGAAAGAGGAGGATATGGGGAATGCCATGAGGGATACTATGACCGCCGAGGTGCTGATTTTGAAGAAAGAAGGGGGGATTTTGAAGGAAGTTTAGGCTATGACAGAGCAAGGGAAGATCGGGAAACATGGGGTGGACCTAACACTTGGGAAAGGGGAAATTATGGAAGAATCAGGGGAAATGGTGGCGACCAGAAGGTGAGGAAGTTGAAGATGCCCATATTTGAAGGAGAATATGCGTATGGGTGGATTTACAAGGTAGAGCGGTACTTCGCCGTCAATGGGTTGACGGAGGAGGAGAAGCTGACAGCAGCAGAATTGTGCTTGAAAGGAAAAGCCCTGTCGTGGTTTCAGTGGAGAGACTAGAGGAGGCCGATCAGGAACTGGAGGGAATTTAAAGACTACATAATAGAGCGTTTTCAAACCGATCGGGGAGAAGACTTCTATGAGCAGTTCTTTGCTCTGACACAGGATGGATAAGTAGCAGATTGCCGGGAGCAGTTTGAGCACCTAGCTAGCAGGGTGGAGCGACTCTCAGATACAGTATTAGAGGAAAATTTTATGAAAGGGCTGAAGGCGGAGATCTGAGCAGTAGTGAAGGTTTTAATGCCCACTTGGTGAAAAATCAGAGGAATTTGGAGAAGGGAGCCAGGAGTAGCAGCACCGGGGCACGTACAAGATGACGACCACTCATCTCGCACCTAAAGGTCCTACAACAGGAGGGAGTCGAGAGGCCACCAAGGAGAAGACAGGAGGAGGAAATGGGGGAAGCTTCAAGCGGCTGACAAAGAAAGAGATGCAGGAGAAGAGGGCTAAGGGGTTGTGCTTCCGATGCGATAAAAATTACACACCAGGGCATCGGTGAAAGGATCAAACTCTTTAGGTTCTCACCGTCTGCGATGACGAGAAAACTGAGGAGGGAGGTGAGGAGGAGACAGAGGAAGAGATGGAGGAGAAGTTACACTTGGATCTGATTTAGGTTTCCCTAAACTCAGTGGTAGGATTCACTATGAATCACACGGTGAAAGTGAAGGGAGAGATAGAGGATAGAGCGGTTGTGGTGCTAATTGATAGTGGGGCTACTCACAATTTCATTTTCACCCAGGTCGTCGACCAACTGGGGGTGAGATTAGTGGACACCGGCTGTTACAGAGTGATGATGGGTACGAGGAAGGTGGAGAAAGGCCAGGGGATTTGCATAAGAGTGCGACTGATGATCCAGGGATACAGGTGAGGGAAGACTTTCTTCCACTAGAGCTTGGGAGCACGGACATCATCCTGGAGATGAAATGACTGCAAATTTTGGGAGACACCAAAGTGAATTGGGGAGCACTCACGGTGGAGTTGATGGTGGATGGAAGGAAGGTAGTGATTATGGGGGATGCTGAGCTTTCCAAATCCCCGGTTTCTCTTAAAATGATGATGAGGGACATCCAGTTGGCAGGTGGAGGATATTTGGTGGAGTTGCACAGTTTGGAGGGAGCGAGATTGGACGAGGGAGGAGACACACCTCTCTCCATTCAGCTGTTGATTCAGCAGTTCCAAGAGGCGTTTCAACCACCTCAGAGATTGCCACCGCAGATGGTGCATGAACATGCCATTGTGTTGAGGAGGGAGTGTGATCGTCTATCAGTGTCCGGCCTTATCGCTACCCTCAATTCCAGAAGGATGAAATAGAAAGGTTGATTAGAGAGATGCTGGAGGAAGATATCATCAGACCCAGCATCAGTCCCTTCTCTAGCCCTATTCTGTTGGTGAAAAAGAAAGATGACAATTGGCATTTTTGTGTGGACTACAGAGCACTCAACAAGGAAATTGTACCTGACAAGTTTTCTATACCAGTCATTGACGAGCTGCTAGATGAATTAAGTGGGATCATGATCTTCAGCAAGATAGACTTGAAATCGGGTTACCATCAGATCTGAATGGAGGATGTATCTAAGATGGCTTTTAGAACTCATGAAGGACATTATGAGTTCCTGGTGATGCCATTTGGCCTCACCAATGCTCCAGCTACTTTCCAGGCCCTTATGAATAAGATTTTAAAACCTTATCTCAGACGATTTATACTGGTATTCTTTGACGACATCTTAGTCTACAAGAGGACAGAGGAGCATTGAGAGCATTTGAAAAGGGTGTTAGAGGTACTGCAGGAGCACCAGCTAAGGGCTAATTTGAAGAAATGCTGCTGTGCACAAGCCAGTGTAGAGTATTTGGGCCATGTGATATCAAAAGGAGTGGCAGTAGATCAGTCCAAAGTTGAAGCAATGCTAAGGTGGCCAGTGCCGAAAAATTTGAAGGAGTTGAGGTGATTCCTAGGACTGACGGGTTACTATAGGAGGTTTGTTGAAGGGGTACAACTCTATAGCATGACCACTCACTGAACAATTGAAGAAGGACGTGTTCCTATGGGGGGAGGCGGCCACATTAGTATTTGAGAGCTTGAAGTAGGCGATGACTACAATGCCGGTCATAGCCTTGCTAGATTTCACTCAGACCTTCATTGTTGAGATAGATGCTTTCGGGTACGGGCTGGGTGCAGTACTGATGTATAGTCGTAGACCCATTGCATCTTTCAGCCAGGTATTGATTGCTAGAGCCCAGCTGAAATTAGTTTACGAGAGAGAATTAATGGCCATCGTTTTGGCCATCCAGAAGTGGCGGCCCTACCTGCTTGGGAGGCATTTCATTG